TGTTCTTATAGCAGTTTATTGTAAGGCCAAGGTGAGAATACACAACATCCATAAGGCTGAAGAAGGACAGAATATATGTCCACAGTCCTAGGGAACAGCAGCAAAGGGAATTTGCAGACATGACCTCCCTGTGCAGGGCAGAGTAAAGTTGGAATACAACTGGCTCAGATATATTTGTCAATTATACCACATGCCATAAAAAGGGATGAAGTTACATAGGAAGAATAAAATAAAACTGCTAGGATGCCTAAATCCATGTACCAGCATAACAGGAAGGGCATGAACTTTTCATGAATTTAAATCTAGAAGCTGCCTTTTGTAATGATGTTAACTTAGCACATTATTAACTTTTACAAATTACCCAGGACAGCAGAACCTACGTACTCACAGTTTTTATAATTAGATTGGATTCTATGAAATGGTAATATTCAGCTGAAGGTTTTAACTCAAAATCATAATTTCATGAGGGTGAACCTAGTATTACTAACGAGAGCAGAGAAAGTTTTAATCATCCTTTCAAAATTTAGAAGTGTCTGCCTACAAATATTTTTAAAAACACATGTAGTCAGTCAAGTGTTTGATACATGAATAAACATAAATTTACTTGTTAATTAAGCCATTCTGCCAAGTAGCTTTTATTCACTGTTATTATAAATGCTGCCTAGAGTGAAAATGGTCAAATGGAGAAGCAGGTCAGCTGAGAAAAGGGCCTGGCTCTGTGGGGACTCACATCCCACTCTGCCTCACTTAGCAGCTGCAGGGATGGAGGTGGAAGCTTTGACCCCATTCCATTCTGTGCCTCAGGTTACTCACATTTGTGGTAGATGAGAGGGCGTCCCCTATGAGGGGCACTGCAGTGCTGTGTGTGGATGATATGTTTATAATACAAATCCACACGTGGGCTTCCCTGGTGCCACAAGGGGTTAAGTCCCAACCTGTGAAGCTATCTGCAGCCTCTGCAGCACGAGTTCAATCCCAAGCCAGGGAGCTACCCACATGGTGCAGCAGACCTCTCCTGTCTCACCCACTGCTCCCCTCAGCAGTGTATTTCAGTCAATCCACCTGTTCTGTTCCCCACTCTGTCTCTGGTGAATCCTCTTACACCCTCATCTCTGGCCTGTACCTTAGTTCTTGAATGTATGAGTAAATAAATCTTAAAAAAAAAAATCCACATGTGATAAATTCTGGCAGAATTAACTACATCTACATATTTGTAGTTTAACTCAGAATTTTGTGCAGCTGTCAGTCTCTCATGTTTGCTAATGTCTCCTTTTTGATGCTGATTCTGTAAGCTGTTGACATGGGCAGGGCCCAGTGGGTGATGGGCATGCAAGACCTCTCTGTAGCATTTGCCACATCTCGTGAGTCTGTATTTCAAAATAAAAAGTTTAAAAAAAAAATATTCACTTTATGAGCCAGCAATTCTACTTTCAGATATTTCCCCCTGAAGAAATCATGTTTACATGAAAAGATGGTACAAAAATGTGTTTAGCTGTTCCAATCATGACCACCCCAGAGTAGAAACAGTCCAGGTGTCCTCCCATGAGTGGATGAACTGTGGTGTGTCCATACAGTGCAATGTCCCTCAGTAACAAAAAGAAATAAGCTATGGATATGAGCAGCAGTAGTTAAAAACAAACAAACAAACAGTTGTCAAAAAACTGAAAAGATGAAAAATGTGGACTGTTCACAGATTTGCTACAAGGATTTAACTAGATTAGATGCACATATGAAGTTTAGAATAGGAGCTAACACATCATGGGTACTTGGTAAGTGCCCACTGTTATTATTTCTTCCAAACAATATTCTGTATACCATATTTTTAAAAAAATTTGCCTTTCCCCCTAACTTGGACAATTCCTGTTTATAATTTTGTGTTGCATGTGTATGCTAGCTGTCCTGTTTGTGTGACACACACACCCCTGCTTCTCACTAAGGTGCTCCTGCACACAAAGCATGGTGATGTGCTAGAATTCAACCATGAACTTGTAAAATGTGGTCTCTGCACTTACCGTGCTTTGATTCTAGAATATTTTTTCAAGTACCCAAATAAATGTAAAAATCTGATTTAATTAGGGTTGAAAGAAATTATAATTATTGTGGGATTGTCTTGTGAATTATAAATACTATGATAAAAAATAGAGGGAGAGATACAGTACTAACATTTACCATATGTGCTGACTATGCTAAGTCAGGCTTTTATGATTAAGTTGTTATATTTGGAAGAACATGCTTTGAATCATTTATAAGTCTGTGTAATAACAAGCTATATCATAACAGGATTTACTGGACTTTTATTGCCACCTACACAGCCAGCCAGTACTTATTCATCAATCTGTACTGTGTATGAAGTGCTGAACTGGATAAAATAGGAATAGGAGGCATTTGAGTTCAAGCTCTGGGATCAGCAACCTCTGGGTTCAAATCCTAACTCAATAACTTGCCAGGTCTGTGACTTTGCACAAATTTCCAATTTATTAAATCTTTTATTTCTTCACCTATAAAATTAACTCAGTACAAATTATCAACCTCATGGATTCAAGTAAGGTAAAGGGCTTATGGAACCAGGGACATAAAAAGTACTGAATAGATGTAAGTTATCATCATTATTATTGTGTATATTATAATAATTTGGGGAAACTTGACTTAGCAACTTAATCAAAATGACAAACGGTGTAAAATTAATTGCACAATCTGTACTTAAGAGGAATATCAAATATCAAAATGTTAAGGTACTTGCATTATATTGCACTGCAATATGGAGCTTACTCTAGGTCAACTACGTGCAAGCTTCTGTTTGATAGAGTGTGGGAAAAAAAGGATATCTATTTAATGACTAGTAAAATCCTGGTATTGTGGATTTTTAAAAATATTTTATTTATTTTTGTGTTGAAGAACTGGGGTGTAGGCCAGAGTTGGGGAGTGGTACAAGGACTCACTAGAGATAGAGTGGGGAGCAGAACAGGTGTATCCACTGAAATGCACTGCTGAGGGTAGCAGCAGGCGAGACAGGAAAGGTCTGCTCCTCACATGTGGGTTAACTCTTTAGCAGGGGATCAATTCCAGGTCATCATGGTGATAGCACTGAGACTTAACCCCTAGACCACTAGTTGGGCGCTAAAGAAGAACAATATGGGCAAAAATGTGATCAACAGAGGAAGACAGGTGTAGAGTGGAGTGGAATTGGTGGATTAGGCTACTCATTCAGATTGACATTGACTGACTATTTACTATTAACTGTTAAAGCCATTCAGTTTATGAAAGAAATGTTGGCTATGAAAACGATAGAAGTGACATGTATCACTTCTAAGTGCTCTGTATATTGCCTGATATAAAGATATACAGGATTAAATGTAATTTTATATATTTTTCTCAAAATAGCTTGTTATAAATCACAATTTTAGTATCTAAAATCTTATGTTTGTAACCGAATATAAAGAAGACAAATTAAATGGAGAGAGTGGAATAGTTAGAAGTCAAAATATTAGGATACTTCTATCAGTGAACTAGTTAATCTCTTAGGCATTGAACTTTCATTTTTATGCATAATACATAAAGACATATAGATCAAGATGTAGATCTAGAGAAGGAGATAGACGTGTATGGAAAGCTATACACACACACAGACTTCTGTGTACATTCATCTCTATCAGTTAACACATTTAAGTAGCTTCTTAATAAATTTAACTAAGCTGTATGTGTTGACCATTACTAATTTAATGCTATTTATTAATCATATTTTATTTAGAGGAAACTGCAAATTTATGGAGTTCCCAAACCTCTAATGGCCTGGCAGTTATTTGAAGCATCCATAACTATACACATTTGCTCTGTTGATTATCTTCTGTGGTTGCTGGATGGCTTAAAAACAAGCATTAGGTAGCACTTAAATCAAAATTCCCATTGGTGATTTTATATAGAAGCAGATATTTCTCCCATTACTCAGCTACTGAAAGCAAAGAAGATGTATAGTTGAAAATGCCAAATTGATTTGAAGCATTTCTGTGTTTTGTTGGTTTTTCATAAATCTTTAATGTCAAACAAATTGTGAATAGACCATCTCTTGGTATTTCAAGGGAAAATACTTTAAATGTATTCATTTGTTTCAGAAAATGGTTCTTAGGTTCAATTAATAATTAGACCTCAAGAAAAATAGTAGGAGCACCCAGAGTTAAACAAACCTGTTAGCGTGATTTTCAGATTTGCTGAAACACTTTGCTCTCATATTGTGATGTCAAGAATGGGATTAGAAATTTGAGCTCAAGTAGCAGTTTATTCTCACAGTACTAATTCTCTGAAATAGGTGGCTGTGGTCTCATTTAATATGATAAAACACTGATTTTTAATGATTTGTAGATGTGAGTGAGTGAGTGTGTGTGTGTTTGTAACAATTGTTATCATTCTGCTGAACGCTTTTACTGTGCAGCTCTGTAGGTTGAGTACTTGTGTGATCTGGTGTCTGTTTTATTAAGTTGGATGAGTGACTAAGACTGAGTATTTTCTGGTTGACTGTTATGCTAGGCAGTTTTAGCACATTTTAGGGGTTATGGTTTGATCTAAAAGATATGGAAATGTGTGTGTATATATATATATATGCATGTGTGTGTGTACATAAATATATAATTTTGTACTAGGATCCTCAATTCTTCTGTTGATTTTTTATTTTGTTTTTATAAGTCACGATTAGTTATTGTACAAGCTGCAGAAAAAATATTTATCTATCTTGAGTCAAAGAAAGACATTATTCAAGGACTCTAGGATATCTGAAGCTTATAAACCGAGTTCTGCCAGGAACATGCCTCAGCTCTCCCATCTCCAATGTGTGGCGTCTCAGCTGAAAATTCAAAGTGTTCAGTGGGAAGAATTTGATAGAGAGAGGAATGGTGAGTGCTGAGTAGTGTCAGAGAGCAGCTTCTATCATAGGAGTCACCTTATATAGTGCAGATAATTTCCAGAGAAAAGGTCATGCCTGGCTCACTGCCCACATTGTTAATGGTTACCTGCTCATACAGGAAGAGAAGTGTCTCTGTTCTCCACTCATTCCCCAGTGTTCTTTTCCAGACATGCTTCTGAGCATTGATTGAGAGCCTCTGAACCCCTCATTCACTCTTATTCCTGAGAATGACCTGTAACTGCACACTTGAATTCTACTGCGGCACTTCAGCCTTCATGAGGCTCTGACCTCCTCCCCAGTGAGCGTGCCATGACTCGGCAAGCCCGTCTGTCCCACAGGCAGTCCTGCATCACCATTATCTTACCTTTGTGAGCATATGTATGACACGGGTCATGTGTGTTGAAGCGGTGGACATGGTGAAGTATTGAACTTGGGGTAGGTCCATAGCAGGGACTCTGCTTCAAGACTGGGAAAGCATTCCTTGCTGGGTGTTTCTCAGACTCTGGGCCACTTCTGGGTTTTCTGTCATTGGAAGCAGGAATGACTCCATTTATCTGTCCACAGTTGCACCATACATAGCAGCATCCACAGATTCCACAAGTTTGGGGCATCTAAATGATTTAGTGATATGCATCACTTGTTTTGCCAAGTGGTTAATCCAATGGCAAGGTCAAAACACTCATCTAACATATGTTACATAAAAGTAGACTATCATTAAAAATATTAACAAAAATAGTATTTTGGAGGACTTACTCTTAGCAGCATGTAAAAAGTGAAGTTTGAACATTAGATCATGTGTGTCCTGTGGAGAAATTGCCATAGAAAATAATTTGGGCATTCCAGGCTTTACGATGTACATAGACATGCAAGGCTGACTGGCTAGTAAAGGATGTTAAACACAAGTGCAAGAGCACAGCCGGCTATGGACATCACCCATGTGTAAGGATACACTGTGGGGACTGGGGGTTTCAGTATCAATGAGGGAAAGGAAGAATTGCTAGTCTTAAGTTTTTCCTGGCCCTTTGTCATTTTTCGCCACTCTGCTTTTCCAGCTCTACCTGTAATCATGATTTCAAGGCAGCTTGGACCTGTCTTTACCTGAATTCTGAGGTCTGAGCTGATGACAGCAACCGCGTGTTCCCTGACACACTTCTGCCTCCTGGCAACGTAGGCACTGACTCCAGGGAAATGCCGTGTTGGAGCTTCGAGGCTGGTAGTTAGGGGACCTGCAGTCAAGAGCTTTGAGATGTGCTATTACCCACGGGACTTCACTTTAGAGATATGCTAAGGGGGAGCAGGAGGAGGGATCCTGGCCCACTCAGCAGTCGCAGCCTCTGTGCTGTCTCAGATTCTCACCTGGTGACTGCAGCATGGCCAACGAAGACCCTTGTGTACATTTAGAAAGGTCAAAGGAAAAAGCAAGTTTCCTTCTTGGGAGTGATACGAGTAGGGGGAGGGGTGGACAGGGGACTCCTTACATTAGGAATAATTGAATGTGGAGAACAATCCCTAGTCCCCTGGGGTACATTTTAATAATGCAGGTGACTGATCCACTTAATGTCTGCTTGATTTGAACTGTGCATTGCTTGGCTTTTCATTAATAATGAATCCACAGGTAAACAAATGCTTCACATTAAATGCCTCTTAAAAGTGTTTAGTATCTGCTGCCAGAAAACCTATTAAGCACTATGGTCCATGAAGGGCAAAATTGAACAGAAACCGTATGTGTTGCAATGGAAACTCCTTTCTACTATGGTCTTACATAAGAAAATTCACATATATCTTTGTGCTGCTTTTTGGAAAATTTCCAAATAATGTCTTAGTCTCTAATTAATAAGGTAATGCTTGTAAACATAATAAACAAATTTATTATTTGAAATGCATACTTTATTAATAGCCATAAATATTTACACTTATATTTAAATGTACATTTTAAAATAATAAATGTACAATTATCTTTTCTATACTATGTTCTTCTGCATGCTATGGCTACAGTGAAATAGCAAGAAGGAAGAAAGCTTATATCTTTGTCTCCAGCTTTTGAATTGTTGAATTGATCATCTTCAAAGTTATGTCTTCCAAAGTAAAACTGGGCAGACAGATTTCACAATTTAAAATAAGTAACAATAGGGCCTCCCCTGGTGGCGCAGAGGTTGAGCGCTGGGCTGTGAAACTGCCGGCAGCCTCTGCAGTGCTGGTTTGATCCCGGCCAACCAGCGAGGGTTCCACATGGCGCACAGACCTCTCCTGCCGCCTGCTGCTCCCCTCAGCAGTGTACTTCATCAGTCTGCCTGTTCTGTTCCCCGCTCTGACTCTAGTGAATCCTCTCACCCTCCCACACTTCTGACTGTTCCCAGTGCTTGTATAAATAAAATAAATAAATCTTTAAAAAAAATTCACAATTATTTAATAAATGCATTTTTTTTTTGTGTTCTAGCAACCAAGTTAAAAGTGCAAGTTCCTTCACCATATTGGATGAGTGTTTTAAAATTAGAAAATTCAATCTTAATTTTCTTAGATTTGTATTTGCTTTGCTTTTGTTTTTGTTTATTCTCTCTTCATGTCTAATGTCTAACCACTGAATTAATCTCTGATGGGATCATCTGCTGTGTCTTTCTAGCCAACTTCTTCACCTTGCCAGCAACTCTTTTATTGCACATCAGAGAATTTTCTAAATCTGGATGGGCTCTTCAAGTTGTCTTGCCCGCTGCTCTCCCTTTTAAATGAATGAAGAAAATAACTCAATTAAGTGATTTGTACCTGATTCAGTTATTGTCAGCATTTCAAATCAAAGGTTTCCAGATTTCCAACCTCAGATCTTTCTTTCCTAAGGTGACCCCTTTATCTCAATTTTCCTAAGGTTTTGCCAGTTTCAAACTTGTTAGTCCCATATTCTAGGAAATCCTTCAATCCCAGGTGAGCCAAGACAGATGTTTACCCTACCATACTTCTCACAGATTTCTATATTCTCTTTTTTACCTAATTTCTTCTTCTAATTTTTAACTATCTTATCCTAGAATTTAACAACTTGCAAAGCCAGAAAGTTTGTTCTTACATCTGATAATCATCTCTCCAATTGGCTCTGTTTCATCTTCTTTGCATTCTTCATATCATATCAAACATTTGTCCATTTGTTCATTCAGCAAATATTTGAATATCTACCATATTTATATAATATTTAAATATAATTTAATCTAATTATTAAAAACACATTGATTGCATACTTCCTGGGTTTTCATCTGCTGTGAAATGTTGGGCATTTTTAGTTTTCCCATCACTATTTTGGGTAACCATTATAAGAAGAAGTATGTGTGTGTGAAAACTTGCATTTATGAATGTGAGTGTTTATAAATTAAAGTGCATACTTTGGCATTGGTAACAAAACAGCATCTGATATGAGAGAATTCATAACAGCTGTGAGAATTCTATGCCGCCATCAATATTAGCAATATTTCTTTCCAGCAACACACTTTTTCCTTAAGGCCACTAAAGCATAATATTATAACCTTCTTCATAAAGCTGTTAGACAGAGCTATGGAATAGTTCTTTTGAATCAAATGTAGAAGGGTCCAGAATTTAGAAAGTGAATTATAAAACTGGACTGATTTAAGTATAAGAAATTGCACTCAAATAAATCCAATCCTCTGAGTCAATGCAATCATAGATTTAATGTAGTTTGAAACTATACAACCTTTATAATTTTAAGCCATGAAAGTAAGGAATGGATTCACCCAAACCATTTTGTTGCTTTTTTTCTTTTTTTTTTATCATGGTTCACTGTATAATGACACTCATGTTTTCTCTCTCCCAGTAGAGTGTATTAATGTTTTTGTTATTTAATGCATTAGCTAATAATACAGAGAAAAACTAACTATGAGGGAACTATCCAATAGCTTTTCACATTTGAATATGTTTTCAAAAAACTGAGCACGTTTTAGTAAGTGTTGAAAGTTTTGGAAGCATCTTCTTAGACCCTCTGAATCCAGGTACTCTTACTTTTATGTGTGATCTTGAGCAAATTGTTTAAACTTTCCGAGATTCAGATTTCTCATCTTCACAATGAGATAAGAATGGTACCTATCTCAAGGCATTTTATAAGAAATAAGGGTAATAATTTATCAAGACATCTGGCATTTTAAACAGCCCATTCATGTGAAACATAACCACCTTTTGTTGTTGCTGATGTCATGAAGGTGAGTGGCTCAAAGCTTTTCTGAGTTCTTTCTGGACCAATTCTATTTCATTCCATTTTACCAGAGCCATTCAAATATCTATCTTTATCCATTCTGTAGAGAAATGTAAGTTTATTGGACAGCTTTGGGGATTTTAAATTGCTGAATTACTAAACATACCTACTCAAATTAAGAGACAAACACAAGTGACACAGAGGGAAGATGTTCATGGTTAGAGATGCATTGTGTCACATTCAAATAGGACAGCTAGTACAAGGATGCAAACAACTTTACTTGATGCATCAAAAGGTCACAAAGTCTTTGGAAGGAAAATGTTCAATTTCATTACCAATTCCTAATGTGTTTGTGTAGCAGCTGCACAGACATTTTCTTCCTCTTTCCTAAGATCAATTGCAGATCTGCAAATCATTAATTATGATTTCTGTTGTTCTTTGACTATTTTAGTTGGTGTCTTAGTCACTGTTTTCCTACCTGTGTAGATAAATCACAAGGATTTTTAGGATATGATTTTTAGATACAGATAATAGGAAATGACTTAAAAAACAATTTATGGTCCCCATAGTAATTCACATGTATTATATGATCTTCACAACTACTGTATAAAATAGAATTGGGGTGGGGTTATTGTTTTAGGTATATCTTAGCACTGTTAGAACAAAGTTATATGTGTTCTGTTTTCCTGTTTGGATACAGTCTTTGCCTTTAGTTAATTATGTCACTGAAAATAATGTGATAAGGCAGTAGTAACAATGACAGAGAGAATGTTTTTAGCCATAAATGAATGTTGAACATACATAAAGTATTCAAGCTTTTCATTAGAGGGAAAAGATAAATATAGTTGTCCAGATTTAATGATCTGTTTTTTGTTTTTTTTTTTTTTTTTTTTTTTTTTTTTTTGTGTGTGTGTGTGTGGTTGTTCAAGATTATGGGGGCTTGAGGTTCAAAACATCAGTCAGTCATCTACATAGTAGACAAACTCTGTGAAGGGAAGACATGGTAAATTTTTTACCCTGAACACAGGGTAAATGATATTAACCTAAACATGAAGTGTGAAATTGGGAATGACTCTAGATAAGGGACAGCTTCCTTGGTGAGCTAGATTATATGTGAACAAT